TTATGAAGTCGCCCCTGTCTATTGGCAGATTTTGCTTGCGTATGTTGAGATAACTTTGCCTTGATGCAGATGCTTGTGCAAACAAACCAGGTCGGACTTCATGACATCGTGTCAATTCAAAAGAGATATGGCCAACAAGTAAGCAAAATATCAATGTTCGATTAAATCTACTAGGTTCACTTAGTGGAATGCACTTTGTCTCTTTGGGTATCTGTTTATGAGCGATTAAGTGTCCACTTCGTGAAAACGCGATAGGGCAGAATAGAAAATCATTAACCGCGTTCCCTTTGTGTTATCATAATTGTTAAGGTTGCTGCTGTCAATTTTTAAACTTGTTGTCCTTTTCTGTTTTGGACAGTTACCTATTACATGACCCGAGACACGCTCGTTTTCTGTAAGCACAAAAGGATAACGTGGTATCTCAGAGGCCTTGATTGATGTACGGAATTTTCAAGCAAAAAAGTACAATAAACAGACAACAATTTTCTTGCACTTGACATCCTTTGTATTGTGGAGTTCCAAGCGCTATAATAACCTGAAATCTTTCGTTTGTCTTATAGATTAATTTTGCTTTAATGGGATGAACCGAAATACGGCTGCTAACGTTTCATTTGTTTTCTTTCTTAAAATTGATGTGTCTTTGATGGGATCCACTTAGTATATAATGAGATAAAGGCTGTTGAAGGAAACAGCACTATGTAAACCTTATAAGACCAAGTCGATGCAATATAAAAGTGAAAACTTCTGGCGTCTCCTTTCTTTTTGAAATATGTTTTAATTTGCGGACCAATATTTCATGAATCAACATGTATATAGAATACAGATATAATGATAATCATAATAAGTTCCTTGCAAAATAAGTAAATGGATAACAGTAATGAATTATATATTTAAAAATCAAATGAGAACTTTGACCCGCTCAAATAACATAAGTGGATCACATTAAATGCGAACAGTGCCGATGACGTCAAAGCTAAACGTAGTCCTTGATTGATTTCAAGAGGCATGTGACTTCCCGAATCAAAAGCCGTGATTAGAAATATATAACCACGGGTAAGCGAGGCTGTTCTCTGTTATCTCTAGCTGATGGACCGAATTTTTTGATCACAAGCTATAGCTACAGTGTATTACCGAGGGACAGTGAAAAATGGACGACGTGTGGCGCCATAACCAGGCAGTGTAAGATTCCCTTGTGCCGGGAGATCTGGTGGAGTTCCGCAGGTCGTGGCTCTTCTCCCACTGGGCCGTTTATATTGGTGAGTGGGTTATTTCGTACCCCTCAAAAAAATCAGCAGATTCTTTGATGAGTTACTCGAAATTTATTCAACATTTTTGCCTAACGATGGTGGACTGAAGGTAGAATTAACGTGTATGCAATCAGCGACGAAGGACACTGGTGTTAAAGCCAGTTGAATTTTAATAATGTGTGAATTTTGGGGCCACTCATTGTTGGACATTAAGATTTTCTTTTTGAACTGAAGCTGATGATTCTAATTTAAAAGAAAAACGTTAGCAAAAATATCAATGTCTAGTTATTACTAATATAAACACAATAGGGGAAAATGTCCAATCTTACTGAAATGTGGACCAGCTGTTGTAAAGTTAATTACTTATGCTTACACTAATTTCAATTAGTAATGAAAGGGAAATCAAATAGATGAACAGTTAGAGTGATAGTGAGTGCAAATTAAGTTTCATCGAGAGTCAACAAGTATAGAACATGTTTTTAGTGTCAGAAGAAGATGGAAAAGGTCAAAGTCAATAACATTTAATGTGATTGGTTAATTTCATAACAGATTTTAATTATGAGCAACTGTTTATCACATAGTAACTAAGTTTTGGATATGATTCAAGTATGAGTAATGCAAATAGTATTTTGAATGAATTTAGTTGAAAACAAGGCTCTTACACATTACCTAATAAGGGAATGTCCTATGGTTAAGTAAACATGACAATGGAAAGTTTCTGGAAATCACACCATAAACAATAAAAAGAACATAATTACAAATGTGATCAGTACGGAAAATTAGAGTATAAATATGGGTAAATTTGTATGAAAATTAAGTAGTGAATAAATGATTGAAGACTCCAGAACCTCGTCGTCGTTAAAATACAGCGAATCTACCTTGATTCGGACTAGTATATTTTAGGAAACTGGTGGTCAAAATGGCCAGTAAGCTGAATAGTTTATGGCACAAACTGTTTATGAACTGAAACCCTAACGTTAACAGTAAAGTAGTACAACAATAGAACATTTCTCTCTCACACACACACTCACACACTCACACACATACACACACAGCACAGGCACGTTCACACACACACACACACACACACACGGCACAGGCACACGCGTTGTGTCAGTAAAAGTCAGAAGGAATGATTTTCAACACAACAAAAAGGAGCGGTTTTAGATTAAATAAAAATAATAAAATAAAATTTACAATTAGGTGAAGAAAATGTGGTCCATCAAACCGGAGAATGCAACCCAGGAAGTTTCTTCAGTGACTCTAGTGTGAGTTCTATGGAGATGGATGAAGTTCGAATGCAACCGTTTTTGACAGTGGCGGGGAAGAGTAAGGCGTTCAAAAACAACAGAAGGGACTCCAACTACGGGTAAGTGTTTGTTGCCAATACAGACATGTTAGATGACTAAATATAAAATGGTGATCTAATAGGATTATTCTTGGTTTTTTTTTTTTTCAGTCAAGTTTGGCAGGTCAATTACTTAGTGTTTATAAGCTAATACTCAATTGATAAAGTAAAATTTCTTTTATTCTTTTTTCAATACTAAAATGTTTGAAATACATTATACTTCAGTATTAAGTCAATATTTTTGGTCGCGCTTGGCATGTCAATTATAAATGTTAATTCGTGTTTTAGTCGCGCTTGACATGTCAATTATAATGTTAATTCTTTATAATATTTTTAAAACATTAATTCTTTCATTCTTTGTTTTATACTTAAATTCTTGAGTAGTAATTTATCGTATTAAATCGAGCAGATAATGTGGAACAAATTCATCTCACACCCAAATTCTCTTGTTTCAGCTGTGATGAGATCGTGGCGAGGGCTCTGTCAAAGCTGGGAGTGAGCGGGTACAATCTCGTCTGGGATAATAGTGAACATTTTGCAGCCTGGTGTAGATATGGTGAAGGGTGCAGTGAACAGGTATTTTTTAAATTTTTTCTTTCGTTTATATTTCTTTAATTAAACTTATTTCAGCCCTTGACTTAATTTATAAATTTATAATTTTTTTATCATTTATCCTTCTTTTTTACTTTCCAGTGGTGTCCTTATTATAATTTATTTTTGCTTTCTCTGTGCTGTCTGTCTGTCTGTCTGTTTCATGTCTTTGTCTCTGCCCGTCTTTCTGTCCTTTCATCTATCCATGCAATTTTCCATTCATCTATATATTGTCAGTCATTTCCAGTTCATTCCTTCATCAGACACTCATTCTGGCACACAGAACATCATCCCATTTTGCTCCTCAAGCACATTAATTCAAGTAGATCCGCAGACTAACAGATCCTGGATGAAATATGACCCAACCACTTGAAAGCTTATGATTTACCTGTGTATTCCCTATTCCTGCGGGGATCCATTCAGTATTTATTAGGGAAACATGCAGCAAGCTTATAAGTGGGTCGGCCAGATTCAATTTAGGGATCTGTCAGTTCGCGGATCTACTTTCTCTGAACGGCCTTATGCAGCAAATGTGGTCGCGTGATCACTTCCGCAGCTAACACAGTGAATGTATTTAACTGTCATATCCATAACAAAATGAACATTATAGATTTGTAAAATATTTAAACCGAAGCAGTACACTTATTTGTTTGATAAATAATTGCTTACATTGCATTATATTGTTTCTTTTTCATTTTATTAAGACATTTGATTATCATTATTGTTATTTTTTTCATTGATTAATTTTATTTCAGGCACAAACTATCTGGACGATGTTTTTTGGGTCTATGGCTGTAATTGTGGGGGGCATTGCCGCACTCACTGGCCTTAGACGATAGAAGTACAAGCAAAGGAACAAGACATGATACTAGATAGCTAAGATATGTCTGGCAGTTCAATTTGACTGGTATTTAGTGGCTCTGATGACCAGGTTAGAATATAAAACATACTGCTGAAGCTCCTGTTGAACCGAGCTTGTGACCACTAGGGGACCAACTTTCACAAATTTGCAGCAAAACAATATGCTGAAATAATATATCATTAATGTATCAGCAATATATCGCTCAATAATATCAATATATAATATATCAATAACATATCAGGTAATGGTCATAAACATTTATGTATTAATCTGATGTTGAGAGTGAAATGTTGTCAAAGCTTTTAAGCTTTGAAGGGGGCGAAAGGCAGCTGCTCTAACTATTAAAGAGAGCATTCACATCGAGAAGAGCCGAGGTCTAGTAAGGCCGAGACCTAAATATGGCGGACCTTCATGAAATGAAGACCGCGTAATTAATCCTTTAATAGTCTCTCAATGGCATGAAAGGAAGGATTACGCCATCTTCCTTTCATGTATGTCCGCCATATTTAGGTCTTGGCCTTACTAGACCTCCGCTCTTCTCGATGTGAGTGCCCTCAAACAATACCGGGCAGTGCAATTTTGTAGTAGTAAGAAAGATATCTGTGACAAAAATTACTAGGATTTGATAACGTATTCTGTAAGTGTTGAGTTCTTCAATAAAATATTTNTCGATGTGAGTGCCCTCAAACAATACCGGGCAGTGCAATTTTGTAGTAGTAAGAAAGATATCTGTGACAAAAATTACTAGGATTTGATAACGTATTCTGTAAGTGTTGAGTTCTTCAATAAAATATTTAAAAAAGAACGAACAGATACTGAGCCAACACCAAACCTCAATATCAGTTAATTTGAATCGTTTACCTGTGTATAATGATAGAGGAACAAAGTGAATTAATATCGACAACGATCACGAAATTGTCTGTGGATATATTTAACTCTTAGGAAGAGAATGGACTTCATAATGCTCTCTAAATTGTATACGGATATACCATGCTGCAAGCACATTATGAAAACAGTACGAATAACAGCGAACGAAATGTGTTCCAAAGGATAGATAGGTGCAGACGTAACATGAGATAGGTGATGATGTAGAGTTCAATAGGCCTTAGGACCCCCCGCAAGAAAATGCAGTAGTATCGAAGTAGCAAAGAAGCATCAAAACAGTAGTGGTGTGGAGCATATTTGCAGTAGAAATGCAGTATAGCCTACTGCAATTCTACTTCAGAAATCACATGGAGTTGTACATAGAAGGATCATTAATGCAGTAGATTAGCAGCATAATATCAGCATGTTTCAAATATGCTAATTAGCTCCCACGTCGAAGCAGATTTGAAGCATGTTTGCAGTAGGATTGCAGTAGTCTACTGCGCTGGAGTATCTACTTAGTTTTCGTGCGGGCCGGCCACACTCCATAAGTCGATGTTTTTAGTTTAAAAGGCGTTTTATATTCGTACAAATTGCATTGCTTGTTTAGATAGACTGTAATATATCGTTAAATTATGTTAATATATAATATATCAACAATATATCATTTAAAGGTCATAAACACTTATGTATGGATCTGATGTTGACTGAAATGTTGCCAAAGCCCAACTTTGCTGGGGGTAAAAAGGAAACTGCTCATGACTATAGCATAAAGATCATTTTTCTTTTGTGTGTGTAATTGAATTTGATAACATTATATTTTGCAAGCGTCCAGTTTTTCAAAGCACTGAGCGAACATTATAGGTCAATATGCATTAATTTGAGTTTTTCTTATCCTTAATAACGTAATGCGATTGTTTTTTAACATCATTTAGCAACGACTTATAATGTTCGTATGAATTAGTTCATTGAGTCTGCATGTAAGCAGTGAGTTATTACCCTAAGTATGGTAGTAGCATCAATAAGCATTGGGTTCATTGTGCCAGTAAACAATTTGTTTATTACGTCAGGAAGGAATCACTTTATTGCGTCAGTAAATAGATTTATTACGTCATGAACCAGCGAGGTTATTGCATCAGTAATGAATTAGTTGATTGCTTTAATAATAAGCAATTAGTTCATTACAGTGTACGTCAGTAAATTTATTACACACTGCTGCAAGGATCAGATCAGATCCTGGGTCAGCGCTCTGCCGTCGTAGTTGAGTTCTCTTTTAAAATGATAGTTTCAGGGATATTAATTATTTGTCAGAACGAACATGGTGACTTTAGTTTATAATCCTTAACCTTCGTACTATTGCTGGTGATGCTTAAACGTCCGATCTTAATCAGAAAAGATTGCTTTATTTTAAAAAAATAAAAAACAAAAAAAAAAGAAAAATAAAGATAAAATCTATATGTTAACGATTTCACTGCGTTTATTGTTTTATTTTCGTTTGTATTATTTATTTTCTTTGCAACGTTTTATGAATTTAGCCATACCTTTGTCATTTTCTGCAAACATAATATTGTATTGACGAAAAAAGTCATTTCAAGTGATTTTACGCTTAATATTATAATTGCACAATATATTGTTAGGTCAGAGTATATTGTTACTGGACATATTGTAAGGTCTTTGCAAAGAGTGCTTTTACAAAAAAGAAGGAAAGGGAAAGAATAAAATTAATCTGCTCCTCCCATCTCATCTGCTTCTAATCATACCAGTACCAGGCTTTCACAACGTTGATCAGATTGGGCTTCAGTATAGGTTGCTATTTACTTCTCGGAACTGTCAAATTAACTTCGGATCACTTTCCGTGCTGTCATCTGTTCCGTTATGTCTCCTCCTTCCCCTATTACCACAAACATCTATAAAATCATCCGTACCACGTGGAGAAACAACGCAGCTTATTGGTTCGAAATTTGACCAATCAAGACCGCGTTCTTTTGCTAAACCCCGAAATATTAATGTGACAGTTAAACTAGTTACTGGCAGTACAAAATTATTTAAATCTCGAGGATATTATTTACTTTCAGTGATGATTTTATTACTGGTGAAAACTAAGCTATGGTATTCGGCACATATAATTTTATCTGCCCTTTATCTGTAACGTAATTCTACATTTAGCTGTACCTGGGAATTTTGAAAATCTGTGCGTACAGTTTTATAAGATCTCGTTACGCCCCTGAAATATGACCTTGGGAATTAAGACAGATACTAAATATTCAGAAGACAAATCGTCCAAAATTCTATTTTATTGTCCGTCAGCACGATATACATGTATTAGTACCAGTATATGTAACTGAAATAATAATACATAGTAATAATCCTTAAACTGTAGACGACCAACGCCTGAAATTTATCATTTTTAAGATTTTTACTATCATTTTGGACAAATCTTTCGTGCGTACGTTCATTAATATACTCAGTTATCGCAAACAAATCGGTCACGATATCATTGGGTCTAATGGTTATTTGGTAGAGGTAGTGTCATAAGTATTGTACAAATAAAGTATACATGCAGAAAAGCACTCAGTGTTCACAGGCCTACGTTAAGACAGCTCAGTTTATGATTATTATTATTATTAGATATCCATTGGTTACTTAATCAATAAGAAAAATTCTCACTTTTAATTTATCTACTGATTCATTTGTTTTTTCAGTTCCCATTATCAGTGTATTCATACAGTAGACTTAAAATAATTGATAAATCAGTCACCACCAAAATGTAGCACATGGTCGACCTATCTTGACAATTTCGTCGAAATCCCTCTTACTTTTTGAATACTGCCAAACGGACTTAGTTCATTAACATACTATTACTGTCATACAGGCTTTATTAATTAGCTAACGAGTCAATACATCACCACTGAAATCCAACCGTTCTCTTCTTTTTTTCTCCCTATAAGCAGCTTCTGGAAATTTCTGAAATTCCTCCAAAAACTTATTGCATAATGATGCTAACAGACAGACAGACAGACAGACAGACAGACAAATAAAAGCAGACAATCGGAATCAGAAATCATTGGCAAATGGAATTGAATTCTAAAGCTTTTAAGAAATAAGGATATAATTGCGCTGCGCTTTTTAAATCTATTTGTTTATATATTTATTGAACCACCGGATAAATTGTTCACCAGAAAGCTTTAAGATACTAATTAAGTAGAATAGAATCGGTTATCGGTAATGTTGAGGTGTAAAGAATGCATTATCAGTCGCCCCTGTCTATTGGCAGATTTTGCTTCCGTATTTTGAGATGACCTCGCCTTGAAGCAGATGCTTGTGCAAACAAACCAGGTCGGACTTCATGACATCGTGTCAATTAAAAAGAGATATGGCCAACAAGTAGACAAAATATTAATGTTCGATTTGGAATGCACTTTGTCTCTCTGAGTATCTGTTTATGAGCGATTAAGTGGCCACTTCGTGAAAATGCGATACGGGCAGTGCAGAAAATAGAAAATCATTAACCGCGTTCCCTTTGTTTTAGCATAAATGTTAACGTTGCTGTCAGTTCTTGTGGTCCTTGTCGGTTTTAAACAGTTACCAGTTACGTGACCCTAGACACGCTCGTTTTCTGTAAGCACCAAGGATAACGTGGTATCTCAGAGGCCTTGTTTGGTGCACGGGATTTTCACGCGAAAAAAGTATAATCAACAGACTACAGTTTTTTTTGCACTTGGCATTTATTGTTTTGTAGAGTTCCGGGCGCTATAATAACCTGAAATCTTTCGTTTGTCGTTTAGATCAGGGAATTATATCGGAGGGAATGGAAACGGGAGGCAGTCTATTGTCCTATCTCTGTTAAGGGGCAGGGCAAAGTGTGCGAGTGACAGGCCAAAGCGACGGTGGGTCACCTGTGGAAATCCACAGAGTAGTCCGTTAACTTGCGAGAACACGCGAGAACAACCCATAACTCAGTCCGTCCTGCTGGCATACGGAAACCGCGAAAGCCTCCAACTCCTCGGCGAAAACCTCAGAAAAAATACTAATACTCCTATGTTATCGACAGGTTAATTCAAAATTTGGATAACAGAGATCACATTACACACATTATGATCTTTGATACAGATT